TGTATATATATGTATATATATGTATATATATGTATATATATGTATATATACATATATATACATATATATATATATGAGTACATATGTCACTTTAAAGGAAGTCATACAAAAATTTGTCTGATTTGTCAATTGGTATATTCACAGTACCTAGAAGACCCCTAAATTCACAGCAGAAACTCAGTAATTGGAGTGAATTTGTGTTGGGGGTGGTGCTTTTTTATTCCCATACCCACTTTTTAAAGAAGGAAAACAAAAATTAAAAAGTTAGGTTTCCCCAAGGAAAAATAGAGGACCAAACCAGGCACACATCTATAATTCCAGCTACATAGGAAATTGAGGGAGGAAGATCATAAGTTTGATGCCAATCTAGGCAAACTTGCAAGACCCCACCTCAAAATAAAAAAGGGCTGGCATTGTAGCTCAGTGGCAGAATGTCCCTGTGTTCAGTCCCCAGTACTGCTTCCCCATTGGCTCTTTAAATCAATAAATGGTATTAGAACAAATGGCTGTTTGTGAAAAACATAAATCCTATATACATATTATTCATAAATTGTAGATAAAAACACAAAAGTGTGCTAACAGGAATTCCACAAGAACAGGGTAGAGGAAAAGAAAGAAACAATGTTAGATATAACTTTTTGTTTTTAGCTCAAAGCAAGATATATAAATCCTTGATCTAAAAGCATATATATACCACATTCCACACAGAATAAATTTTACAAATCTATGAGCTACTGTGAAGGGGAACACTAGAATGTCAAAGATAATTTACTGGAGTGAAAAAAGCCAATTAGTCACAAAAGATCGATTATACTGAGCACAGACTTCTCAGCTGCAAAATGAGTGGCCAGAAGACAATGTAATGATATAGTAGTTTCAAAGTGTTAAGGAAAAACATGAACGTAGAATTCAGTAGTGTGTTACAGAGTGAGACAAGAGCAATATAATACACAATGACATATATGAGAGTTAACCACTCAGTTTTTAAAAAAAACATTTATTGGTACATTTTATTTTATTTATTTGGTACTGGGAGTTGAACTCAGAACCTTGTGCTTGCCAGGCAGGCGAAGCACCACTGAACTAAATCCCTTGCCCTCACCACTTAGTTCTTAAAGAACTATTCTTTTTTTTTGAGACATTCTTGCTATGTAGCTCATGCTGGCCTTCAACTTGTGGCAATTCTCCTGCTTCAGCCTCCACGTTCTTGGATTACAAGTGTGTACCACCAGTCCTGGCACCTAAAGGAACTACTAAAAGAATGTTCTTTAATAAGAAAACTGAACTCAGAAAAAAACAGTAGTGTGTAAAATTAAAAAACAAAGGAGAAATTCAAAAGAAATACAGACATTCCTCATTTAACAACCAAGTTCATTTCCTGCAATTAGATTGTTAAATGAACTGGTCACCAAATGAGGAACTGTATATACAGTAGTATGTACATTACAATATTCAAAATAAAGTAATGGTCAAAGGAAATTCCAATTTGATGACTGCTTTTTATTGCATAACTCTTACATGCAGTATTGACATGATAGCAACATAAGGCTGCTGTAAAGTATAATCAGCAAAAATAACAGTACTGTATAAAGGAGGTATACTGTATTAAAAAAAAGACATTGAGGCTGTATAAAGATGTACAGAACTTTACAAAAAGAAGATAAGCTATAAATCTGAAAGGCAGTTTCTAAGTCCAAACAGCACACCTTCATTGTTAAGTCTGAATAGTCATTAAACAGGTCACTAAATGAGGAGTATCTGTAATGTAACAGGAAAATTCAAAGCAACAATAACATCTTCAAAGGTGCTTACAGTAAGAAAACTAAACAGACAATATTGAGATAATTTCTCTAAGAGAAACTTTAGAATAAGAGTGTTGAAATTGTATGTGTATGAACCTTACTTGGAACACGAGTCAATAAAATTCATAGGAAAACAAAAAAAATTTCAACACTCTATAAATCTGAGATGAAGAAATTACTTAATTCTGGTTAAGACTTTTAAAGGAGTCCTAATCATTCAGAGATAAATTCTGAAATATTTACAAATAATTTCTGTACATGTTTGAAATTTTCATAATAAAAATTAAAAATCCATCAGAAGGGGGTGAGAATTTAGATCAGTGGTGCCGTGCCTGCCTCCCAAGTACAAGGTCCTGAGTTTGATCCCTGGTATCAAAAAAAATCAAGAGGGATATTTTATCCTAGCAACAAGAATAGAATGCTATGCATTGGTTTTTCTTTGTTGTATGTTTATTAAATAAGAGATCTTAGCAAATTAAAAGCTGTAACTCTTCCTTCACGCCATCCCTCCCCAGAAGGTAAAATAGTTAAAAACTAAAGTTAAAGAACTCTCCCTTTTCTGAAAAGAGAAAAAATATTTTATAAAATTAAGATTGAAAGACAAAAGTGCCTCCATATTTGACCTGAAACTAAACTTTAGCTGTGCGACCCCTACCCCTGGTTGTTAATTGCACGTTCTGCTTCTGTAAACCTTGCCTTGCCCATATCCTGCAGAGTAGGTCAACAGCTGCAAGACTCCTTAACCACAGCAAAGTCTTATCTGAAACAAACAGAACTTGAGGAGGGCCACTACCCTAACTTGTGGGGAAAAGCCCAGGGTTACATGTTTGTTCAGCCCTATAAAGATCCTGCTTTTTTGTGGCTCCAGTCCCTTTGAGAGTGGGGTCCACTTGCATAAATAAACTTCCCCTATTCCTCTGGATTTTCTGTCTCTGTGCTGGTATTCTCTTTTTGGTCTAACAAAGACAATTAAGTGTTCAGTGTCAAAGGTCCAACACCTGATTGTTCAGAGTGCTAGAAAGAACAGAGAAAATTCAGAGTGCTAGAAAGAACAGAGAAAATAGGAGGGAGGGAATCAAATAGATACAGTGAAAAATTCCTAGAAATAATAGAGTATCTCAGGATTGATCCATCTAAGAGGATAGAATTTGGGACCTTCAGCTTGCAAGGAAGGTGGTGGAACCACTGCGCTAAATCCCTAGCCCAGTGAATAACTTTTTAACACGAGTGGAACTAAAATATAACAGCATAAAATTTTGCCCAAAACAAAACAAACCTGACAAGCCTAAATAGATGATAAAAAGGTTATACACAAGGGATCAATAAGAGGCATAAAACAAGACTTCTTCGCATTAACACTGCTCTATTGTCTACTTAGCTTTTCAGTGTTTCAAACTTCCAATGGACAGTATTTTTATTCAGAACTTCTATACAAGGCCAAAATACAACATAAATGTGAGGAAAAAATAACTTCTAGTTATATACAGCCTTAATATATATTGATCATATGGATCCTTTTTCAGGATAGTAATAAATTAAAATCCTCCACAAAGGAACTGAAGAAGTTTCTAGGAAACTGGAGCACTAACAGAGAAGAGGAAATGGATGAAGGTAGAGGGATGTCCTAGTATGCTGGTGTGCTATTTGCCTACAGGACAAATGATTAGTCTAGATCAGTGATGGTGAATGTATGGTACATGTTTTATGTTTAAGAAAAAAAGATGTTAATGTATGAGTTGCCTTTTCTAAACTAAAACCTCAATATTCAGATTTAACTGCAGTGTTGACACTTTTCAATAAATAAGTGGGTTTTCGGTTGCAGTTCGGGCACTCATCTCTAAAAGGTTTGTCATCACAGGTCTAGATTGTAGGCGGATGTCCAGGACCAGAGAAGAGTTAAGATTGAGTGACAGAATGGACCTGGCAGAAAACAAGTTTGAGAGGCATTTTACATAGGCTTAAGGAAAACTAAGGAAATAAATCTTAAAGACAATTATCTAAAAAAGTAAAATTTATATAAGAAACTGATTATGGCTCAGCAGTAAAGACCACATAGTTATTACAACAAAAATGAAAATACGTAACAAAATTTGTGAGAGAAATGTAATATAACTGCATCGTGATTTAAGGATGTGGGAGGAAAGGAAGCAAAAATTTTCAACAAACATAACAAATTTAAAAATAATATCTCAAAAAACACTGAAGACAGTCAAAAGAACTGCTCAAGCATTTAAAAGTGGCAACTACTGGCAAGAGATGCCAGAAAGTTGTTTTTTTTTTTAATGTAGAGTCTTGTAACATAAAGTATAAAGTATTTGACTTTTAAAAATATGCACATGGGCCAGGGATTTAGCTCAGTGGTGCTGCTGCCTGCCTCGCAAGCCCAAGGTCCTGAGTTTGATCCCTAGTACCCCCCCAATATATATATTATATATATGCACACATTTCTTGAAGACTAGGTAGAAAATAAATGAATTCCATAATGATGTTTAAAAAAACCCCAGCAAAGTAAAAAGAAAAAAAAGTTAACCCAAAGCTGCATTTTTGAAGAATACTGTATCTATTACCTTGCAGGACTAAAAAGAAAAAAGGTCTGAATGAGTATTAGGTTCAAAAAAAGAAAAAAAATATGTAAAATTTTAGCAGTGTTTAAAAATATCATTAAAAAACTATTGATTTTAAAATTCACCATAAAATTACCTAGTGTGATCAGTGTGAACTTTTGCCGACAGATTTTAAAATTGAGATAAAAACCACTTTTTAAAAAAGAAAAAGGTGTTCAAAATTGTCTAAGAACTTACAATGCCTAATTTAACCAACAACCTTTAAAAAGACTGAGTTTCAGGTTAACTTAGCTTTTGAGACCAAAGATTCTGCATCCTAACAGTACAAACTTTCAAGGGAAAAACTGTCTTCTGGAATAAAGAAAAAACACTATGTTTTCTAAATTATTGATAGCAGCCAACCAGGGCCTCTGCACTGAGCTATATCCTCACTTTTTATTTTGAGATAAGGTCTCATTAAATTGTTCAGGATGGGCTCAAAATTGCAATTCTCTTTCCTCAGCCTGTAAAAATGCTGAGATTACAAGTGTGCGTCACCATTCCTGGATCCAAATTACTCTTGAAAGTTACAGAAATTTTTTCCTGGATCCAAATTTCTCTTGAAAATTTAAGAAATTTTTTTTTTTTTTTTTTTTTTTTTTTTTTTTTTTTTTTTTGGTACCAGGGATTGAACTTAGGACCTTGCTCTTGCTAGGCTGGCACGGTGTTACTGAGCTAAGTCCCCGGCCCTAGAATCTTATTTTTGTAACCGGGCTGGATTGTACAAAGAAAGATAAAAGTGCGATCTTAATTCTCAACATAGGTTAAAAAAAACTGTGCGAAGTCACACTTATTTCTCCCTCGTTTCTTTAAAACCATGTTGCAGCTGGGCGGCGAGCCCGCAGTAGAACATCACTTGTCTGCCTTGCGAGCTTCGCACAGAAATGCATCACCTAACTGCTTGACACATCCTAAAGAACATCAAGTCAGAAGTCCCTCATAAGAAAAAACATTATAGGGCTAGGGATTTAGCTCAGTGGTTCCGCTGCCTGCCTCGCAAATACAAGATCCCGAGTTCGATGCCCAGTACCAAAACAAAACAAAAACACAGAAGACAACCAACAAAAACAAAAAACCGTTTTATTCAGATCCCCTTGAGCACTACGATTAATTTTACGTATTTGTTCATTCATTTTGCCCGGAAGGCCGGTTTCTGGCAGCGTCAAGGGCACTTGTACGAGAGAGCAATGTCAGTCTACCAACAGCATGAGGTGTCCTTAGCTCCCAGGCCTGCTACGCTGACCCCAAACCTAACCCTCGGCCCCTCTCCGGGACTCAGCCTTCCTTCAGAGCAGCAAGGAGCTTCGCTTCCACCCGCAGCACTGGCCTCGCAGGGTAGAATCCAAAGCCAAAGCCAGCATTCGCGGCCGGTAATAGCACGGAATGAAGGAAACAGTATCTATGGTGTTGAAGCACTGCAACCCGCCCGGCCGAGGCAAAGTCGCGGAGGCCGCGACAGGAGAAGCTCCTGCCGACGCCCGCCCCCGGGAAAACCCTCCGTCCGCTCCTCGCAGCCGCTCCAGATCGCCCGGGAGAGTCGCTCACGCACGGCCCCCTCCAGGCAGGGCGAACGCGGCCTTACCAGTGACCCGCGTGCGCCCAAACGCGATTACCTGTGTGGAGCCAGGAAGCAGACGCGGCCAGGACTACATTTCCCAAGATGCCCCGCGAGGTGCGCAGGTTTGTGTCCGGGTGACCCTTTGTTTGTGACAGGACGGCGAGGAGAGCCTGCGTTGGGAGAGACCAGTGCGACACAGGTAGTGTGTGCCTGAGTGCGTGAGCGGCAGGCCGGACCCGTGCTTGACGTCAGCT